GTGTACTGTAGAGTCAGAATCAACCCATCACACGGGAGGAGATAGCCCATCCTTCTGCAGAGAAGCTGGAGCCCTCAATTGTGTGACTTCAGGGTTGCAGCACAGCTTCTCGCCACGAGGCCACCAGAACTCTCTAGATGGCCCTTATTAAATTGACTCTTTAATTTGACCTCTCCTTATTTTAAAGATGATGTTAGGCACACCAAATACATGATCCTCAGATGGTTTCCTCTGGTTTTCCCAATTTACATACAAAAATAAAATAGCAAAGCATTTCATAAAATATGAAAAAGAAAAGGAATATAGTACAGATAGTCTATGTGATTCCAGGTAAGAAAGCGCTGGCTAATGGCATTTGACTGCTTCATAAACTTACATCACAGAATTTGTTACAAGTGCATGGTCACTCCCAGGATTCAATGTTTCTTTGTTAAATTTCTATCCATAAACCTACCACATTCTAAAATGAGGCATCCGCTTGGACTAGATATAAAGGCAAAAAAGAAACTTTCAGATTGTCATGGTTTTTCTTGGACACCATCCATCCAACATTGGGCAAGTGATGGAGATTGAGAAATCTGAAAGAATGTAGTGACACAAAACACTAAAGCAAGTCAACGCTAATGTTGAAAGATTACAATCCAATCAAGTATTTCTTAGAACAGCAGTGGAGTTTTCAATTACTACAAATTGGAGCTAAGTCTGAATCCCCAAATGAATACCTTCTATTTGGTCCACAAGAGGTATATGTTAAAGTTCAGAGAGCTTTTATAAAAGTTCTATTGATTTGTTATTAACATAGTAACTGCATGTAAACTTTATAACTCTGACTCTGTCATAAACAAAGAATTTATTGGATCTTTGCAATGGAGCCAAATAGAAATATATATCTTCCATCATAAACATGGGAAATATGGATCATAAGAAAAATTAATACCCAATTGCTTCATGAAGAAAGTAATAAGACCAAGTTTGTGGGCCAATTTGACCCCAAACCAGACTTTTAAAGGATTTTTAAATCTGAAAAAGATTATTGTGCCCAGTAACTGAGAATAGAAATACTAAATCACAAATAGTCTAAGGAAGCATCATAAAAACCACTTAAGTGCTTTTAAAAATAATAACCAATAAACCAATTGTTGTTGAGTAGATCTCAGCTCACAGTAACTCCCTGGATATCAGACGAGTGTTTTCAAAAGCTCATTTTTTTTCTAAGCAGATTGTTAGCCTCTCTTATGAGCTGACTCTGGGTAGAGTCAAACTTCCAATCTTTAAGTTAATAGTCCAGTGCATTAATCATTTTCAATACCCAGGATTTAAAAATAGCAAAATCATTTTAATGCTGTTTAAAATAACAAATACCAAAAAGACTATTTAACTATACTTCTTTTTTTTTTTAATTATTTTTGTGTGAGTGTATCGTCAAATCAGATCTGACTGGTACAGGAGGAGATTGTCCCTCCTCCCCAGCAGAGCATCTGGTGGATTCGAACCCTGTGCCTCTGGGATTGTACTTGCAGCTCCTCGCCACTAGGCCACCAGAGCTCCCCTTAACTATGCTTTTTAAAGTAACAAATATCAACTATCCCTCTTCAGAAACATTGAGTTCCTTTTGTTCATGTTTAGTTTGCTCACTAATTCCACTCAAGAGGCAAAAATTACTAGTGGACATCCATACTGGAATTTGAAGTCATTCTGGATCGGTCAAGGAGGAATCTCAAAGTCAGACAGTTGTACCTGAGGCTGGGGAGAAGCCAGGTAGAGGAAGTGTTGGGTTTGTAAGGAGACATTTGTATTTGTACCCCCCCAAGGGGATGACTGGATAGGATTTTGCCTTCATGTCATCAGCTCTAAAGGCCTGTATCTCTAAAAGGGCTCGAGTTGTTGCCATCTCCTCTCCAGCTGTTAACGGACAGTTAGCTACAAGGACAGGTAGAACAATTTCTAGGGGTTGCACATCTCCCATTGGAGAAGCATGGGGGCTGAGACAGTGCTAGCAACCACTGTGATCTTTTTCAAAGCTTTGGTATCTCCTCATTATAACCACACAAGATGAGGTTTGTTTTGTTTTGGTTTTTTTTTGTTTGTTTGTTTTTATTTTTTTGTTTGGTTTTGCATGTGGTAAAAAACCTGGAAATTTCCCTTCAATGGCCTTCTTAGGACACTCATTCTCAATTTCAATGATTTCACATTTCACCGAAGGCCAAGATGAAGAGTGGAAAAGAACCTTCTAAAGAGAAATTATGCTCCAAAAGAGTAAAGTTGAATATATTTGTGAAAGGAATTTTTAATATTAAATTTATCCCAATTTATTGTAATCTCTGCCCCTTTTTCATAAATGTTGATTATTCAAGATTTAAAAAAATATATGTATTCCTAATGACTTCATTTATTCAAAGTGTTACAGAATAAATCCCTTAGCCTCTCAATCTGAAATCCTTAATAAACACTGTGTTGTTGTTGTTGTGTACCACAGAGTCAGAACCAACCACAGCTGACCCTCCTAGCACCTTAAAAAGCTATGACTCTGAACCATCACAGAAAATTCTAATTACATTTAATGCTGATAATACATGTTTTATTGTTATATTTGGTATCTAAAAAGCTGCTATTAAATGTTTCATTTACATATATACAATTTCCATCTAATCATAACATTTATTTATCTATAGCATCCAAATACTGATTTTCAAGGAAAATGTAAAAGAAAGAAAGAAGAAAAACCCCAGATATTTTCTGTTTGCCATTTTATATACAATTCATAACATTATTACATTTATAGCATTTTAGAGGTGCTAACAGAAGTAGGGAATAAAAAATAACTAAGCTTTCTGGCCACATATTGAAAAATCAAATTGTGGAATTACATAACTACTCAAAGATTAATCATTCTGCTTAGGTTGGAACATTTTTAGGTGCGCATATTGCCCTTCTGTAGAGGATCAAAAATTCATTTCTATCAAAACAGATTTACTAATGCCAAATAAAGCTGTCATTCAAAGACGAAGCCTACATGTACCCTGTGTTTCATCGGACTTAAAATGCCTATCAGTGCTTTTCTACACTGGATTTTCTTCACGTGTAGTGAAATGAATAAGAGGGCTTTTCTAGATGTTTGGAGAAAATTCTGTTTTGGCCATCATATACACAGATACAATGTTAAATCATTAAAAATAAATTGCTTATAAATTAGGGAGTTCATTAAAAGTTAATAAAGTATTAGTAACTTAAAAAATTCTGTTAAAATTCATCATATTTCAAATAGTCTCTCCAGAAAGAAAACTTACATCATTCTATTTTTCCCATCACAAATCAAAAACGAAAAAAAATCCATTTGGCAGGCAATTACATTTAAATTTTTCTCACTTTTCCCTCCAGACTATTGCTACAATTTGTTGTAATATTAAATTCTTTTGTAAGAATAAGTTTCATTTACATTTTTAAATCTATAGTTACAACTTTATTTTAAATATATATATTCATTGTTCAAAACAATATCCTTTTTAATTCTAATCAAGATTTTATTGTAAGTTTATAAAGAACTTGGATTTCCATTCATTCATTGTTATACATTTTCCTCCCTGACCCCCTCCCCCCAGTTCATTCTTTCTTTGGGAAGAATAGGTTTTTTTCATTGTTATACAGATCCCCCACCAAGACCAATTTACTATGCAGCTCGTATTCTGCTTATCGTTTTTATAACTAATAAAGCTAATATGTAGCTGGAAAAAAGATCATTTTCTAAGATAATAACTTAAAGTACAAAATATATGCAAGGCTCAGAAAAGACTGTGTTTCAGTTTTCCATTTTTACTTGCATATCTGCTTGTGGTAACTTTCTGAGGTCCATTTAATACAAGAGTGATCTATTTTCCAATAAAGAGTTTTCCTAAAGTATTGAAACTTCACATTAACTAGGCATTATGACAAGGAAAATGAAACAACGATCCCAAACCAACTCTACTTGAAGACTTTTGAAGGTTTTTAGATACGGTGTGATTTGTTTTCAAAGAAAAGATTAAAGACGTTGACGGGAGGAGATTTGGCATATTTAGTTGAAAAGAGTAACTGGTTTGTTTGGGTTTTGCTCTTTCTTTCTCGAATAACTCAGATTCACTGATCTCGCTTCTCTTGTGACCCACAGTGACCCTCCACTGGGTTTCTGAAGCTGTAAATGTTAACAAAAGAAGACTGCTCACGCTTCTCCAGATGAGTGATCAGTGGACTCGAACCACTGGAGAGATGCAGACTTTTGATTATTAGCAGCACAGCTCTCTAGGTACTATGCCACCAGAGCTCCCTGACCACACTCATAATCTAACTGAAATTCTTAGGATACAAAAACTTCCCTAAATCCAAGTGAAACACTGTATGTTCAGATTCGGTAATAACAAAACCATGAAGACATCCAATTTATTAAAGTTCAAGTTTGGACCAACTTCTGAAAATTAAGAGGGTGTCTGGCATATATTCTATTAAAGGAAAAGTCCTATTTTCATTATTTCCTGATTATGGAGATCCGGCACAAAACTTAAGGAATAAGAGCTCTTTTGCAAAAAAACTCTTCATCCAAGGGGGGGAAAAAGCAAGCACTCCACCCTTTTTAAAGTAATGAGAGTTGATAAACTAAAATAAGAGTATGGAAAAATTTACTTTCTTCTGTGAGGTTAAAAGAAAACTTAAAAGGAACTTTGGGGAGGGAGGTGAGGGCTTTCACAGGGCACTGGTTTTCAGCATCTAACACCAAGAAGTGTTCTGTTTTATTTACAAAGAAACACCAGCGAAGATTAAAATGCTGCTGATTAGGTAAACAGGAATGACGCCAGGATGGGAGTATTTGCCACTGCAAGAGGCCTAAAACAGAATCACATCTTGTCCCGAACATACCTGCCTGCCAGAACCAAACAGGCAGCTGACCAATTCTGGGGTGTTTATCTATACAGTGGTACCTTTGTTCTCCAACAATGTCAGATTGCAAACGTCCTGAAGCACGCATTTACCTGGAGGATTCTTGGCAGGATCATTGTGGCTTGGACTTCCTGATTGTCCAGAATCTGTAAAGAAATCACAGAAAATGTTTTCTTTTTTCATTTGTTTGGAAAAGACTTTCACAATCCTCTAAAGAGTGCTTTTAAAAAAATAATAATAATCATTTTAAAGGTACAATGAATTCGACTGTTTAAATAATTTACTTTCCCAAGCTGTTGGGGAGCAACGCTTTTATTTATCAAACCAGATGAATGTCTATACCTACTGCGATGTCAGAAATATAAACAAATGAATAAAATAAAAGCCGTCATCTAGAACAGTCTTGGGATTGAAGCAAGGCTTCCAAAACAAAGAATCTGGCTACAAAGCCAGGGAAGGTGGTTTGAAGGTTGGGCAAACAGAAGACCTCTCAGCAGCAATAAGAAATACAACCTTCCCTAGAAGTGCAATTTGAGTGTAATTAAACATGCTTAGCATTTTTTTTAAAAACCTGAAAATATGTTTTTATTCAATGAGTAAAATATAGCAAAATGAGGGTCTGCTTGTGCAGGGTTTCACATGCACGCATACATATCCACTCCAATAATCCCCCAGCCTACTGGATCCAGGCCCAGATTTGCCTGCATCCCATAATAGCAATCGATTTGCAAACACCAAGAAGAGCATAAATTACTAGGTAGCGACCAACATGGCTTTGTGGAGAGCAAATTGTTGAATTGATTCCATTCCCACCCGTGACAGACGGACAGACTCTGTGGATGAGGAGGGACAGATCGATTCCCTGCATCTGAATTTCTTATCCCACCGACTACGTCGCCAAAGCTCCAGGCAGGAGTGTGAAGACTGCACTGTGGTTAGGCAACACGCCGTCCTGGGTGTAGCAGACACTGTTATGTTTTGCGTCTCCTCTTCTCTCCATGTCCCCTCTGCATTTATCTGTGTCACTTGCCCCATATGATTACATTCTTACTTGCAGGTTGCTTTGCAATCTTCTTTTATTGGTTCTACTATTTAAGTTGTGTCTCCCCGACTAAATTGCATGCTCCCAGCAGAGGCTGAGCTTCTGTCTCCGTCATCTCTCGCATCCTCCCCAGTGCCTGGCTCGTGGTTGGGAACACACGAGGCTTTTTCTGTCCATGCTGGAGGGAGGGAGGGATGGCTCAGATTCGGCATCCTCCTGAACGGCTGACCTGGAAGGCCATTTTGGACTCGCTCATGGATTTCAACAAGCTTATTCAATAGGATGGTACAGAGCGGGGCTCTGTCTTGGGCTGCCACATACCGCACAGTCCCTTCCCCCAAACCCTGCCATTGTACTTGAGCCAAGAAAGGGATTCCGTCTTAGTTGAGCACAGAAATCTTACGCTGGTTTAGTCAGCAGGGTTATGCTGCTGGTCTAGGTGAGGGACTGTCATGGGGCAGTAGCTGCTTCTACTAATAAACACAAGGGCAATCCTGTTCTTTTTTTTGCACAGTAAAAAAAAAAAACAATCCAAAAACCGTCTTTCTGTCTTTTGCCACTAACGACATATAGCACTGAGGACTGATTTTGACCATTTCCTTAACTATCCTTTTTCATTTTGTCCTACATCCCAACATGCCTGTCTCTCCTGGAGACTCCAGGACAGGGGAGGATTGCTCCGCGAGGTCCAAAGGTTGAGAACCTGTGTGGAAGGCGGCTGCCACCTCTTTATTCCATGGAGCAGCTGGTAGGTTTGAACTGCAGACCTTCTGGGTAACAGAGCACTCAGTTACTGCACTACGAGGAAGCATTGTATCCAAAGCCAGCTTTCAGTAAATCCTAACAAATATATTCTGTGATTTCTCATTATCTCTCAAGTCACTCAAGCTTCCCTGAAATAGAAGTAAATGCAGCCAGGACTTTGACTAGAATTTCTGGCAGACAACCGCACCAGCTCTGAGAAGCTGGTCTCCCAGGATTTCTTCCTATTATTCTATTTAGAATTGAGGCAAAATTTACTAACTTAAACTTAGTAGATCAACCTTTCTCTTTTTAAAATTCTGACAAAAAAAAAATAATGGTACCATATTGGTGATTTTCCAGTCCTAGAATACAGCAGTTACATAAAAATGATCAATTATATTATTTTGTCATAGTCTCAGCTATTTCTGCCCTCCTGGGTTCCTCTGACAACTGTCCCCCAATACGGACTCGGCATTCCAGATTAATCTATCTCCCCAATGATTCTACCACATAGAGGCTTTTTTTTCTCCTTCTGGATAACAGCCCATTTGATCATGACATCCTCATGTTTTAGTTTTACCTCTAACACTGGATCACATTTATAGAAGTCTCAGAGAAAGGAAAAAAAAAAACAAAACAAAACAACGCATTGCCTTCCAGGTCAATTGACCCTTGAACAGGTTTTCAGAGGCTGTGAATTACAGGAGAGGAGACCGCTCATCTTTCTCCCTTGGAACATCTGGTGGATTTGAACCATTTGCCTTTGTGTTGGCAGCACAATTCCTTACCCACTTGGCCACCAAAGCTCCCTCATGGAGGCCATGTTCACAGCCTTTCACATGAATAATACCTCAGTATAAAGAAAACAAGACTTCTCACAACTCTATCACTAGCAACATAGATAAACTTATAAATAAACTTATATAAGTTGTTAATGATATCCTTCTCCTTGGATCTACAATCTCCAACCATGAAAGCAGCAGTCAAGAAATTAAATCACTTATTGCAATGGGAAAAGCGGCTGCCAAGGATCTTTAAAGTGATCAAGAGCAAAGATATCACATTGAAGACTAAGGTGTGCCTGACCTTATAACCCAGGATATTTTTCAATTGTTTCATAGGCACATTAAAGTTGGACAATGAATAAAAAAGTTAAAAAACAAAAACAAAAACAAAAACGATGCCCTTATATTGAGGCATTAGTGAAGAGTTTTGATGAGATCACAGGCTGTCAGGAGAGCAAAGAAATCCAGCCAGGAGGACGAGCAGTCAGAGTGCACAGAAGCAACGATGGGAGACATTGCCTCACATCCTTTGGGCACGTTATGAAGAGGGAACAGTCACGGAGTGGACTTGGGGGGAGGGACTGCATAACAATGAAAGAGTTTTTCTTTTTCTTTTCAAGAAGAGTGAACTGGGGTGGAGGTGGTGGGCAGGGAGAAAAGCACAACAAATGAATGACTGGAAACCCTAAGTCTCTGTAAACTTTCATTAAAATTATTTTTAAAAAACAAAAAAAAAAACAAAAGAGGGAACAGTCTCTGGAGTAGGACTGTATGCTTGTACGATTAGAGTCAGCCAAAGACAGCTTCTCCGGAAGATGGACCCACACAGTGTGGGAACGAGAGCCTTAGCACAGCAGAGATAAACATACCTTCCTAAGAGGTAGCACAGGATTAGGCGGTTCACTCTGAGCGAGCTGACTCCATAGGCCCAATCAACAAACACTAACTGGCTCTGGCTTCACCTTGGTGAATGCCACGCTCCGGACAACTGGTCAACAGGCGGCGGCAGCCTCATTTCACCAGCTACAGCCTCCGTGGAAGAGTTACAGTGTGCTCAGTGATGTCAACTAGAACACAGCAAAACGAATCTCCCAACATTCAGACCCTCAAACCTGGTCCCGGTAAAGACTGCGGGTCCCTTCCCGTCCCGGGGAGGAACCAGTCAGAACAATAACAGCCCACACCACCACAAATTCCACTTTGGGAAACCCTGTTCTTTTCTGCTGCCAATGACTTTTTGGCTCTATTTCCAAAACCCATAGACCAATTTCTTCAATTGAAAAAACCATATATACATGCTCCAAAAAACCCACAAGCATTTGAAGGAATGCTAAATTCAACCCTAAATTTGAGTCACACATTTGGTCTTTACAGCAATTTCACTTTCTGGAATGAGCTGGGTTTTACCAGCTCACAGAGGCTGACACTCCCTCCCAAACCAACACTGGGGCCTTCTCACCAAGTAGAACAGGGGGGAGAGGGGCTACGGCACCCCACTATCATAAGAGGACCCGCAAGGAGCCCACAACACAACACTGACTTTTAAACTGTAAATCTTAACACTGGAATCTGCTATTGACTCCTCTGTCACCTTCTATCGGTCACTTAATTGCAACTGCTGGAAAAGGAAGTAACCAGGGAGTCGCAGTTGGCAGAGAAACCCAAAATGAACTGTTATTGTGGTTGACTTCAGAGAAGGAATTACTCTGACCACATCTAAAACCTCTCAATTCACCACCTAGGTCAAATTACGTTAGACCCAGAGGTTTTATTTAACCACTTCCATCGCTTTACCCAAGTCTCCTTTCTTTCTTTTTTTTTTTTTTTTTTAAGTTGTATGTGGACATAATATGTTGGGAGTGAACCCTGGCTGTCTTCACTTGGGGTGTGATTTGGGGGAAATGACTTAATATTTAGAGGCTTGGGGTCTTGATCTTTCAAACTGCAATAATGCTATCCCCTCAGACCTCTGCAAAGATCCTAGGAAGCAGAGCATCACGTTCCTCAGCCAGACACGTCCTACATATTCAAGGCACTATTGATCACAGAGCCCATATTCGAAACTATTAATATTTTTAATGGGCTGTCAGGAACAAAGGGAAAGCAGGGCCTGATCAAACTGTCCACCCCTCAGCACACATGTAAAAATGATCTGCAGTGAGCAAACCGGATACGGGAGGGTGCCCAGCTGAGAAGGCTGAGATAAAGGCTTTAGTCTCTCTATCCCAGAAAGACCTCTGTGAGGTCTTCAGAAGCTCTGGAGACCAGCCTGCTGCGGAGATTATCTTCCAAGAAACTCAATCTGTGAAGAATGGAGGATATGCGTTACCTGCCCAGTGCAGTACTGGCTCTCAAATCAGGAAGGATTTTTTTTTATAATTGAAACATAAGGTTTTTTTCCCCTAAGTAGTGATTCTAAGAGCATAAAGGGAGATCATTCTAATTTAAAAAGAAAAGTTTGAAGTAAGTTAGTTACAATGAAGCTTTAAAAAAAAAAAAAGAAAAGAAAGAGGCGGGAGAGGAATAAAAGATCAACCATTGGCTAATCTTAGCATGACTGACAGAACCCTGCCCT